TGCAGGAGGGAGAACAGATCTCACAACCGTCTCTCCGAGTTTATTTCTTATGCTCCTTTTTATACATAATCTGTTCCTTTGTGTATCCCAAGATAACATAATTAAAGTAACATCTTGAAGATCAAGGTACAATCGACACTTCCTTTGACACTCCCTTTGACACTCTCTTCGACACTCCCTGTTTCTATTCTTAATCTTCTTCTTCCTGGAATTCCACAGAACCAGCCTTTTCCCTTTTTTATGCAAGCAGGCCTCCCAAGATAATCCATGCACTCTTTTGAATTTTGGGAGCTTTAGCTCCCTACAGTTAATCAATCTGATATAGTTAGGGATGCAGCCAAGAGGCTTGCAGATAGAGCCTCAAAAAAATCTGCCAACAATTGAATGAGTCATGGGAGTCCTGGTCCAGAATTTGGAGTTGGGGATCCTGGCTTCTCCCATTTGCAGGACCTCTCCTCATGCTCTTCATAGCTCTCTTATTTGGTCCCTGTATCCTGAACTGTCTTGTCAAGTTTGTCTCCTCATGCCTAGAGGAGAGGCAGAATCCATAAAGTTACAAATAGTTGTGACATCCAGACCACCCTTATACCAGCCCTGAGGCCAAAAAAAATTCAAAAGGTTGATGACCTATAAGAATTTAAAAGGGCATCAAAAGTGGGAATTGAAGAGGAATATTCTACTCAAATGGCTGCTTCTGTAGACATGCTTGCCGCATAGGCCGAAGGGCCGGGTGACCTCAAGATCAACTGAAGACTCACCCTCCCCTTCGCTTGTTCTGTCTAGATAACAGATGTATTGCCTTTGCTTGTTAAGCTTTATAAAAGTAAGGTTACCCCTGAGCTCAGGGCCCAGATCATCAGAGCGCTAGCTCTTCTTGGACTGCTGGTGTAATAAACCTGAGTTCTCCAACTCTCTGAGTGGTGCTTGGTTTCTCGCTGGTCTGATTTTTCTGCAACAACACCATGTACATTTAATGTGATTATTAATGTGATTAGGTTTGACTACGTCATCTTGTTATTTGTTTTTTTCCTCTTTTTTGTTCTGTTTTGTTTTCTTTGTTTTCTGTTGTTTATTTTCTATTTGTCCCATTTGCTTTTTATTTTTCCCTTTTCTTGTTTTTCTACCTTCTTTTGGACTAAATGGATTTCCTTTTTGATTTGATTTTATCTCCTTTGCTTCCTTATTAGTTACAATTATTTTGTTATTTTAGTGGTCACTTAAGGGTTGATGGTATACATATTTATCACAGTCTACCTTACAGTGATTTATACCATTTTATTGTAGTGTAAGAACCTTACAATAGAATACTTTCATTTGTTCTCTTATGGCCTATATGCTATTGTTATCATGCATTTTACTTTTCATCTCTAAAAATTCAGTTTGGGTCTTTCTTTATATCTTTCATGTCTCTAACTTTTTGAATATACGTTATACCATTATAGTAACTGTCTCAATGTTCTTCTCTGTTAATTCTAACATCTTTGTCAGTTCTGAGTCCCTTCCGACTGATTAGTCATTTGTATTTTCTGTATGTATCAGTTGTGCCTCTCAGTTGCATTTTCCTGCCCCTTGGTATACCCGGTAAACTTGTTCGGATGCCAGACATTGTGAATTTTATCTTATGTGTTGGATATTTTTGTAGCTCTATGGATCTTTTTGGACTGGTTCTTGGAGACACTGAAGTTACTTGGATATAATTTAGTCCTTTTGGGTCTCATTTTTACAATAAAGTAGGCAGATGTGGAGCAGTGCTCATCATAGAGCTAAATTTTCTCTACTGGTGAGGCACTCTACCCAGTACCTTGTGTTATGACTTTTCCAGTCAGACTGATGGAAATCAGCACTGTTCCCAGCCCAGTGTGAGTGACAGGAGCTATCCCTCTAATTCTCACAGATGGTTCTTTCCCTGGCCTACCATAGTTTCCTTATAGGCATGCATCCATCATGAATACTTGAGGGAGACTCTACAGATCTCCAGTATTCTGTCTCTGTGCATCTGTCTTTTCTCTGTATTCTGTCCTGTGAAGTCTAGATGCTTTGGTCTCTCTGGACTCTAGGTTCTGTCTCCTCAACTCCGGGAGTCTGCTAGGCTCTGTGTTGAGTTTCTTTCTCTCTGCCATGGCCCCTGGAAACTTTCTCAAAGTAGTAAGCTGGGGCAATTTTAGGATTCACCTTCTTTGTTTTCTGTTTCTCAGAGATCACTGTTCTTTGTTGCCTTATACAGACTATCTTAAAAACTGTTGTTTTATATATTTTTGTCTTTTTTTTTTTTTGGTGGATGCTTTAGGTGGTATGGTACATCTGGTCCCTGTTACTTCATCTTGACCGAAAGAGCAAGTCTAGTCATTGCTTTTTCCTCTTTGAGATTTAATCCTTTCTCTCTTTTTTTATTTCAAATTTATGTATTTTTTTAAAAATTTCAAGGCTTAGAAAAGTTGTAAAAATTACTCAAGGCACATCTGTATACACTTTGTCTAGATTCATCAAATGTAAACATTTTGCTACATTTGTGGACTCTCTCAGACACATATACGCACACACATGTTTTAACTGGACAGTTCTAGAAAAATTGCAGACATCGTGATACTTCATTAAATAATTCTTAATAATAAGTCACTATATACCACAGTACAACAATCAAATTCAAGAAATTTAACATCGATAGAATATTATCATATAATATATGGTGTGGGTCCCAGGTCTAGCTGTGATCCAGGCTTGTGGTTAGGGATAGAACTCTGGATTTAAAATGTTACATTAATGTAGTAAGGTGTCTGCGCTTAACTTATGCGAGTATGACTCAGCTTATTGTTTATTACTCATGTGTGGCAGAATGCCTCCATTGTTCTCTGACATATATAAAGCCCATGCAGTCCCCTAGTGTAGAAGTGCACGCTCCCCACAGTAAAGTTGGTGCCTGCCATTTCATTCTCATGTTGGCTCCTTGTGCATTCTTTCAACTGGGTGTCTCACCACCGAAGCTTTCCCTTCTTGATCAGTTTGGTGCTGACATATCGTATATTTTATCTATTGCTATATAGCAAATGACCCCAAACTCAGAGACTTAAAACAATTTATTACTATTGTATCTCATGATTCTGTGGGTCAGGAATTCAGGTACAGCACAGTGGGGAGGGCTCATCTATGCTCTATGATGTCTGAAGCCTCAGTCGAGGGCGACTCTGAGTGGTTAGGGGCCGGAACAGTTTAGAGTTGGCTGGGCATCTCTTAGTTTTTCTGCGTGGCTAGTTTGGGCTTTCTCACTGCATGGAAGCCTCAGGGCAGCTGGGCTTCTTACATGGTGGCTCTGGGTTCCAAAAACAAGTGATTCTTGAGATTGCCAGTAATACAGATTGGCATCACACATGAGGTGACACCCCAAGGACGCAATATCGCCTGTATCATATTTCTGCCCAAAGTGCATAATTGGAATTTAATCATGAGGAAACAACCAGAGAAGCCCAAAGTAAAGAAGTTTCTATAAAACAACTGGCCTGTACACTTAAAAAGTGTCAATGCTATGAAAGACAAGGAAAGGTAAACTGTTTCAGATTAAAAGAGGCTGTATAAGTGTGTTAAGGCTGCCATAACAGAATACCACAGACTGGGTGGCTTAAACAACAAAAATTAACTTTCTCATAATGCTGGAGGCTAGAAGTCTAAGATGAAGGTGTCCACAGGTTTGGGTTCTTATGAGACCTCTCTCCTTGGTTTGTAGGTGACCACCTTCTTCTTATGTTCTCACCTGGTCATCCTTCTGTTTGTCAGTATCTTAAATCCTCTTCTTTATAAAGACACCAGTATTTTTAACTTAATTACCTCTTTAAAAGCCCAATTTCCAAATATAGTCATATTTTGAGGTACTGGGAGTTAGGACCTCAACATATAAATTTTGGGGAGATATAATTCAGTCCATATCAGAGACTGAGGAGACCTTTATGTGTGGTTTTAGATTGGAAAAAAAGTTGCTGTAAAGTATATTATTGAGACAATTATACAATTGTATTAACCAACGTTACTCCGATAAACTTAATAAAAATAAATAAATAAATCTGGGCTGCCCTGTGACTGCTTTGACAAAATATAGTGAAAGAGGAAGCAGAAACTGCTTTTTAAATGTTGGATTCAGAATTGGAATAGCTTCACTTCCACTGTACTTCATTTGGTTAAAGCAGTTATATATGCTTTGTAGCAATTATTTTCTAACCCAGGAATTTAGATATCAAATCTCCTCGGTTTCCTTTAATTTGAAATAGTTCTTCTTTCCTTGTCTTTCATGACATAAAAATTTTTGAAGTGTGTAGGCCAGCGGGTTATAGAATATCCCTTAATTTGGGCTTGTCTGACTATTGCCTCGTGATTAAATTCCAATTGTGTATTTTTGGCAGGAATACAATAAAGATGATGTGATGTCCTCAGAGCATCACCTCATGTGTGATGCCAAGTTGTACTATTGGTGAAATTAACTTTGGGTACTTCGTTAAGATGGTATCTGTCAGATTTCCCCATTCCCCATGGTGATTGGTAAGTAATTTCTAAGGATGTCCTTTTATTTTCCTTTAAATTTTCAAAAAAAGCTCTTCTGTATGTTGTGTTGGACAATTTCAATATCTGATGTCCTCTGGGGATCTGAACCTGGCCTCCTGTGCTTGGTGAATTTTTTAAAAATTGTGAACTTGTATTTGCTTGACTCCTATGGGACTAAATGAAGGATGTCTCCTCCAGAGCGGGTTTCTATTGTTTCTGCTAAGAGCAGGAGCACTTGGAACTCTTCAGTGCTCTTCCGCATTCCGGGCTTGACGCGGGAGCTCAGGTTTGGCTCATCTTCCCAATGCTTTGTGAACATCTAGCGCAGTGTCGTCTCAAGGCTTTAAGATCACTTAAAGGACAACCTGCTCACGGTTCCTTTCTCCTCCTCGTGCTCCTTCCATCGCCCAGGTGGGCAGGGTCTGGCTGGTGATGAAGCGCCGGGCTGGCGGAGAAACTGACCGCCCGGCCTCCAGCGCCAGGCCGAAGCGACTGTGGGGGCGGGTCGGGGGCGGAGCAGACACTCCGGAGCCTGCTCCCGGTGGGAGGGCGGTCCCCGCGGCAGCTTCTCGTCATCTCCCCTTTCTCCGGTGGTGCTCGCCGCGGCCGCATCTGGGGTGAGTACGCAGGGCCTTGGCTCCGCGGGCGCCGGGGAGGGGCAATTTCATGCGTGGGGTGGTGGCGGGCGCCGCGTGGGCATCGCCGGGCGGCGGGCGAGGGTCGGTCCGGCGGCTTGGGGCTGGACGCGAGTGGGGCCGCCGCGGCCCGGCCTCGGTGGGCCGTCCTGCCTCAGCCTGAGCGGCGGGGCCGGTCAGGGGGCCTGCGGAGGCCGAGGCCGGCGAGAGGCACCGCGGCATTCCCTCTGTTGCTGGCGGGGAGCCAGATGAGATACTGACAGGTAGGGAGAGGTTCAGGGGTCCTCCCACCCCCGACCCTTCAGCTTGGCGACACGATTCTGGCTTCGCCCTCCAGCACCTTTTCCTGGCGGGAGCATCAACGTGAAAAAGCCCCTTTCTTCCCCCTTGGAGCCTCTTTCCCCAGAGTTTCGACCAGGAAATTGACAGCTTATCCTAGCCTGGGGGCCTGCAGGGGAGGAGTTGTGAAGTCGCCTGGATTTTAAAGTTCTTCAGTGACACCTGCCTTTAGTCGGGCTCTCTGCGTCCATCCAGTGCCTGTCGATCGCTAGCTGTTGATGTTTAGTTTTCTATTAGACAAAGGATAAACCTACATTTGAAAAAAAAAAAAATAGAAAAAGCCAGGAGGATTGGGACTGAGAAAAGGCCATTGGGTTGGTAGCCTTAGGAGAGCAGTTATTAAAAGGGTGGGCGTGCACCGGGTTGCAAAATGTTTAAGAGTGGGTGAGGGATGAAGACGTGTAGATAGATGGTCAGGGCACAGGTAGACCTCTCCAGCCGTTTAGTAATGAAAGGAAGAGGAAGAAGATTGTAATTTGCGGGTTGTGAAGTTTTGTTGTTTTTTAATTTTAAGTTTTTGTTTTTTTTAAAGGAAAATAATATACTTAAAACGCAAGAAAGTCAAGCAATCTTGAATAGGGATGAATAGGATTCAGGGTCCAGGATAAGAAATTGGGCTGAAAAGAAAGGTGGAGGGCTATTTTAGGTACCTGGGCTGGGCAGGGGTGCTGGAATGTGTCTCTGGGGGGAGGAGATAATGCTTGACTGGACCGTAGTTTATCTTTTTGGAATTTTATCTTCTAGAGTAGAATTGGCCTTTACACTCCATAAAATTGTAAAAACTTTCATGATCCATACTTTGATCAGATTAAACTCGTTCATTAAAGAGAAGTACTGAACTGTTTGACTACATAATCTTGGGAGGAATAAAACTAGCCATTATTATATTTTATATATTTTATATTTTATAGAATAAGTAGTGTCTACATTAAATTGAGATAATAATAATGTGTGCTTTTCCCAGAGATGCATGCAAGTGATTTGAGAACGAACCATCTCTTTGAAGATTTCTTATTTAAAATGAGAATGTCCAAAGCAAATCAGTGGTGGTTTTCTTTTCTCTTTTTAAAGCCATCAATAAGTACTCCAGAGCTACCTGGGTTTGTGTTGAAAATATGGATTCCCTGGCTTTTAAAATAAGAATAAAAATAAAAATAAAAATCTCTGTGGGTGAAGTTTAGGAATAGTAATTTCAAACAAAGACCATAGGATTCTCTGGCATTGGTAATTATTGATAGCCTATGAGATTTTTCTATGAGATTTGGGTTTGTTGAGACTTCTTTAGAACAGATTTCCTTGAGAGTAATAAGAATGAATTGCTGCCGAATTTATGTAACTAAAAGTTATAATACCTGTCTGTTGTGTCACCTCTAGATTTTAATATATTTTAAAAGAAAATTATGTAATCATTTTACCTGAAAAAATAACATTGTTTCTGATCATAAACCCATTTTAGAAAAATTAGAAGACACAGAAGAAATAAAATTTCCTTAATTTTATAATTAAGAAACATCTCAGTGATTCTTTCTGGCTTTTTATATATAAAAGACATGCACACCACACATATATAGCATAATTGGGATTGCATACTATATACATTTTTATATTCTGTGTTTTTTTTCACTTAGTTCTTATGAGTACCATCCCATGTAGTTAAGTTTTTTAAACACTGTTTTAATGAAAGCATATGTTCCATTAGATGGAACTACTGTAATTAATTAAATCACCTCCCTAGTGTTAACACTTTGATTCTTTTCAGTTTTTGGTTATTTTAGTAATGTTGGTTGAATAATGTGGCCTGCCTTTCTCATTATTTCCTTAGAATAAATTTTTAAATGATGGAGTCAAAAGCTATTCAAATGCATTTTTAAAATCTCATTTTCATGTATCTTTTTACAACTTTTCCTCACCAGAAGGAAAATTAACATTTCTGAAGGATCTATTGCATTCCAGGTCCATTCTCTTATTTCAGTGGTTCTCAAACTTTAATGGGTATAAGAATCACCTGGTGAGCTTGTTAAAAATTCATTTTCCTGAGTCCTAGGCCCAGCCTCTCAGACTCATTAGCTCTGGAGTAGGACCCAGGAATCTGCAGTTTTAACAGATTCTCTTCTGTATTAGATATAAACATTTTTGGAACAAAAAAAATGGCAATATAGACAGAAATTTAGGTCACTTGCCCAAAGCCATTCATGCATCTGTAAACAAGATTTGAATTCAGCTCCTCATGATTTCTGAGCCCTTGTATTTTTTATTACCTTAAACCTCAGACTTTCTCATTGATGTGTCCTTAAATGGCTACAGAAAGGGAACTGATCCCACTGCAGGGTTCTCTGGGATAGCTGGAAATGACACATAAGTATACACTGAACCTCCATTAAAATCCTGCATCAGAAAATCTTATGAATTCTGTTATGCTGCATAACACATACTGTATAAAACAATTTCAGTCCTTTGCTAGTTAAATTTATTTCATGTTTCCTGACCGTTTAATGACAGCTCTTGCTGTAACATGAACGATGCAGGACCATCCAACAGCTCTTGCCCAAGGGTGGAGACCCTGTTCCAGGGTGCTCTGTGGGTTCAGGGAGGAAGGGGAGCAGTCAAAGCAGCAACTCCTTTTGGAATTAGGCAAGAGAAGCACTGCTTTGGAGTATTCAGTGGCAGAGGAGCAGAATGTAGTGGGCCTGACCAAGAGAAAGTGCTATTTGTTAAAGATGGGGCCGTCTACCCTTAGAAGAGTGAATAGAAGGGAGTTAGTGTGGAGGTGAGCCTTTTTTATTTTCTAAAATCTTCCCCAAATGGAATTCTACACCCAGTTAATATTTTCCCTTATTAATCTTTGTTTTTCCTTGTTTTTTCCATCTCATCTGTTTCTGTCATAGCCAGGGATTATGGTGCATCCTTATGTATTTTAACTAACGTATCCTAGAAAGTCATTTATTATTTACCAAATTAAGCACCTGCTATGTGTCAGGTCAGTTTGAGATATTAAGAATACAAAAATCAGGGATTGTCTTTGAGAATTAAGTATATTTAGTTATACTCAGTCTCCAACTTTTTTTATTTTAACTTTTAATTTTTAATTAATTTTAGACTTAGACAAAGTTGCAAAAATGGTACAGAGAAAAAATTCACTGTTTCGCCTAATATTAGCCCTTAACATAACCGTGGTTCATTTATCAATATAATTACAGATTTTATTTGAATTTCATCAATTTTCCTGCTAAGGATTTTTTCTCTTTCCATATTCTATCCAGTATCCTACATTTAATTGCATTTAGTTATTTCCCCTTAGTCTCCTCCAGTCTGAGATAGCTTCTCAGTTTTTGTTTTCTTTTTCCCTTGTCTTTCATTATTTTGACCCCTTGGATGAGTACCAACTAGTTATTTTGTAGCATGATGTTGTTTTGTAGAAGAGTTCTGATTAGAGTGTAATATTATCACTGATTCATGAGGTTGATGGGTCTTATCACTGTTAATTAACCTTGATCATTTGGTTGAGGTGATACCTGCTAGGTTCTCCACTATAAAGTTACTGTTTTTCTCTTTATAGCTAATAATTATTGTGGGGGAAATACTTTGAGACTCTACAAATTGTTTATCCTCAAATTTTCACCCACTAATGTTAGCACCTATTGGTGGATCTTGTCTGTAACAATTACAGTGCTGTTTGCCTAGTGGTGATTTTTTTCATCTCCTGCTTTCATATTAATTGGAAATTTTCTGTAGGAAAAGAGCTACCCTTTCTCTCCCATGTATTTATTTGATCATCTATCTCAGTATGGACTCATAGATAATTCATTTTATTCTGTGGGTTACAATACAATGCCATTGTCAACATAAGAAATGTCCAAACATGTAAAGAATTTTTATAAGAATTTATTTGAGCCAAACTGACACTTGCCAGGAAGCAAGATCTCAAATGCTTTGGAGAATAAGTTTTGCAGTTTCTTTTATGCATTTGAAGTTAAGGAGGGAATGTAAGAAAGATTACATGAAGGTGGGAGAAAGCAAGGCAGGTATTGGATTATTGGATAGTTAAGATTATTTTATCTTTTGAGGGTTGTTAGAGGGGGTATTACTTCTGGCATTTCAAAGGTGTGTTAACCTAGATGCACAAGAACAATGGACAGGCTTGCTTAATAACCTTTCTCTAAATAAGTTATAGGCCTGTAGTGTTACTACTATCCACCATGACCTACCTGTCCAGGTGGGAATTTATGATTTCTTATAACACCCTTTTTTTCATCCACACTATCATTTTCTTCTTCAAATGCTTCTAGTTTTGGTCATTAGGAGCTCATTCTTTGAGTTTAAATAACTTGTACATGTAAAAGGCTGTCATTTCTATCCCCCTTCTCCCCTCAAAAAAAAAAAAAAAAAAAAAAACCCCCGAAACCCATTGTTTTTTTAGCT